GGGACAAGTAGTACTGAGGAGGCGGGGAGGCTGCAGAAGGTTTTAGACAGGCTAGGAGAGTGGGCAAAGAAGTGGCAGATAGAATACAATATGGGAAGGTGTGAGGTCATGCACTTTGGTGGGAAGAATACAGGCCTAAACTGTTTTCTAAATGGGCAAAAAATTCAGAAATCTGAAGTGCAAAGGGATTTGGAAGTCCTAGTCCAGGATTCTCTTAGGGTTAACTTGCAGGTTGAGTCAGTAGTTAGACAAATACAATGTTGGCATTTATTTCAAGAGGACTAGAATATAAAAACAGGGATGTACTTCTGAGTCTTTATAAGGCTCTGGTCAGACCAGATTTAGAATATTGTGAGGAATTTTGGATTCCATGTCTCAGGAAGGATTTACTGGCCCTGGAGTGGGTCCAGAGGTGTTTCACGAAAATGATCCCAGGAATGAAAGGCTTAACGTATGAGAAATGTTTGAGGACTCGGGGTTTTTGCTCGATTGAGTTTAGAAGGATGAGGGGCTATCTAATTGAAACTTACAGAATACTGAAAGGCCTGGATAGAGTGGAGTTTTGGAAGATGTTTCCATTAGCAGGAGAGACTAGGACCCCAGGGCACAGCCTTAGAGTTAAAGGAAGACCCTTTAGAATGGAGATGAGGAGAAACTTCTTCAGCCAGACAGTGGTGGATCTATGGAATTCATTGCCACAGAAGGCTGTGGAGGCCAGGTCATTGAGTGTATTTAAGACAGAGATAAAAGGTTCTTGATTGTTAAGGGGATGAAAGGTTCTGTGGAGAATGGGGTTGAAAGCTTATCAGCCATGATTGAATGGCAGAGCAAGCTTGATGGGCTGAATGGCCTAATTTCAGTTCCTATGTCTTATGGTCTTATGATTTCCGCCGAGTGCTCCAGTTTCCTCCTACAGTCCAAAGATGTGCAGGTTAAGTGGATTGGCAATGCTGCATTGCCCATTGACTCCAGGGATGTGCTGGCTTCTTGGATTAGCCATGGGAAATGCAGGGTTACAGGGATGGTAAGGCGGTCGTGCGTCTGAGTGAGATGCTCTTCAGAGGGTCGGTGTGGACTCGATGGGCCGAATGGCCTGCTTCCACAGTGTAGGAATTCTATGTTTCAATGAAAGAAGCAGGGATGTTGAAAGGGATAAGAGGAAGATCAGAAAGATTTGCATTTAGGTTACACCATTTACAGTCACACGACATCCCAAAGTGTGTTATAATCAATGAAGCACTTTAAGTACATATTGTATTGTAGGGATATGGCAGCTAAGTTATGCAAAGCAAGATCCCAGTAATAGCAAGATGTTTATAAGAAAATAATATGAATTAGTGATTATATTGGTTAAAGAATAAATATTGTCCAGGACACTAGTGAGAGCTTTTTTAAAATTTGTAAGTGGGTGTCACTGGCAGGGCATCATTTGTTGTCCATCCCTGAAATGAGTGAACTGCTAGGCCATTTCAGAGGGTAGTTAAGAGTCAACCACATTGCTGTGAGTCTTGAGTCACGTGTAAGCCAGACCAGGTAAGGATGGCAGATTTACTTCCCCAAAGGGGTATTAATTGACCAGATTTTACAACAATCAACAGTGGTTACAGAGTTGCCGTTAGACCCCAGCTTTTAACTCCACATTTTTATTGAATTCACATTTCACCATTGACCATTGTGTGATTTGAACTTGTGTCTCAGAACACAGGCCTAGGATTCTGGATCACAATACCAGTGATGTTACCACTGTGCCACTGCCTTCCCCTCAAAAGTTCTCTTGTTTTTCTTTTGAATTATGCCTTTTTTTAAAATCCACCCAAGAGGGCAGACATAGCTTTGGTTTAACAGTTCATCTGAAAGGCAGCACCCTCTCAGTACTGCAATGATGGCTGAACCTAGATTTTGTACTCAAGTATCTAGAATGGGACTTGACGCATAGGTCTGCCACCATAGCCACAGCCAACAAGGACAGATCCTGCACTGTGGTTGCAGAGGATGTTATTCTTGACTTTGATTAGGGGAGTATAATTAATGTTCTTAACTAAGTATTTGGCCTGTTGTAATGCTGCTTAGTAGGAATGCACTGGGATGAATAATGTTTAGTGAAATCTAATTATTCTAAAGCTTCTTTTTTAGCTAAAGCACTTGTAATAACTACATGGTGTATATATTGTAAATGTACCATATCTCCTGCTATTGTTACAACACCCCACAGGCATAGTTAGTTTCACCTTTCCTGTGTAATGTTACAGGATTTCTATGATAACTTATTAAATGGTTATTTCACAAATTGTGTCCCTTCAGTTATGTAGAAAAACTTGTTAAACTTGTTATGAAGGTTACAGGCATGTTGAACTGGGAAATCTTACAGAATTGGGTTCTTAAAGTTGCCCTGTTTTTTTTAACTTAACTCTGAGGAGTGGACCAACTTCAGCGAAGCTGATGAAGGCATCATAGTCAAACTATCATTCAAGAATAGCGTAACATTTGGCCAAACTGAGTAGGAGAGACAGGTTCCCTTTTATTTGAAGGGCATTAATTCCACCAGTTGGATCTTTATCAAGGTGTTCAATCTTTCTGGGTACAGTTTCCCCCTCTGCCTGGAACCCTCTGCTACTTTAGTACATGTGTCCTTTCTGAAGCCAGTGAGATTCAGCAATATATTTTACTGGAAGATATCACTGCTGAGCTTGATTCTACCATCCCCTGACATTAAAATGCATGTACCCACCTGCAGAGATCACTAGATTTAAAAAAAAATGATTGGCCTTGATAGATGAACATTGCTGCCAGCATTTATTGCCTATCCCTAATTTTCTTGAACAAATAATGAAGATTTACATTTTTGAACTGTGCAGCCCATGTGTCAAGGTACCATCGCAGCACTGCTAAGAAGGCAGTTCCAGGATTTTGACCTGGTGATTGTGAAGGGACAACGATATAATTCCAAGAGTGTGTGGCTTGGAGAGGAACCTGCAGGTGGTAGTATTTTGATGCATCTACTGTTCTTGTCCTGCTAAGTGATTGAGATTGTGGGTTTGGAAGATGCTGTTGAAGGAGTCTCTATGAATCTTTCCTGTAGTATAAACTGTGCGTCGATGGTAGAGGGGATTCATTTTTAAGATAGTGAATGGGTCGCGATTCAAGCAAACAGTTTTCATCTGAACAATGTTGTTTCTTGATTGCTGTTGGAATGGCATTCATCCTGGAAAATGGAGAACATTCCATCACAATCCTCAATTGTCTGTTTGAAGATGCTGCACAGGGTTTGGGAGTCAAGAGGTGAATTACTTGCCTCAGAATTCCCAGCCTCTGACTTGTTCTTGTAGCCACAATATTGATGCATCTGATCCAGCTAAGTTTCTGGTCAATGGGAATGCCCAGGATGCTGATGTTGGATTTTTCAACGATAATAATGTTATGACATCCAATGCTATTATGGTTAGACCTCTCTTGTTGGAGATGGTCATTGCCTGGCACTTGTGTAGTATGAATGTCACTAGTTATTTCAAGTCTGATTGACAGGCTGCCATTTATCCCTTATTCCTCTCTGTAGCTCAGTCTTAGTGGAGAGTCCAATTATAGCTCCTAACGATGCCCTAGTAATTTAGAATAGTAGAGGCGAGGGGAGTGTGAGTGCAAGAATATAAATTAAAGTAATGACTGCTACGTTACTTTTGGTGAGCAAAATCTTTCACCTTGCATAATTCAGGTTACGTTACTTTCCTACAGTTTTGTATTGTGTGGCATTTCCTCATTGAAGTGTTATTATTTGCATCCCTGATAGAAATGGAACCTAAATACGATGATGCAGGGAAATATGTGAAAGGTTCACGAGAAGGAACCATACTACATTAGCTTCCACTTTTACAGTACTTGTATACAAAAATGCTTTTTTGGGTTTTGGACAAAAAGGCGAACTCAAGGGATTTTTCTAAAACTGGCAGAAGGTAACAAGATGAACTTGTGCTGAGGGAGCCAGTTTCGGAATGCATGGGTATAGTGGATGCTGATGGAGTGGGAAGTCAGCATTGGTTTAGTGAGAATAACTAATGCCTGATGTTGGAGGCATGGACAGGGCTCCGTGACAGGAGGATATTGCAAATGTAGAGTGGGCAAGACCCGAAGGGTCTTCAAGACAAGCATGAGAGCTTAATACTCAATTTTGTCACAGCATGGAGCTGGAGGAGCTTGGCTAGCAGTCATAAAGAAACATCTAAGGTTTTGGACAGATGACAGCATGGGTCTTTGAATTCTATATATATTGATGTCCCTGGAAAGTGGAAACTTGCTAATAAAATCATAAATGGAAGCCCTATTAATTCAAATGGATAAACAGAATTCCCAGATGATTTAAAAATGTGACGTTGGAGTGGGTTTGGCAAGTGTTGTAAATGTGCAAGTAGAAGAAAGTAATTGCAGTAATGGATCAGACAGGGAGTGGAGAGGAGTTGAGAGGTTGAGCAGAATTTCAGAAGGCTGTGGTCCAAGTGCTGACAATACAAAGTGCCCTTTGATTCCCCATTAGGTATTTGAGTGTCTTGTGAGGGCATCATCACTGACACTTGAACCAAATGTGCTTTAAAATCAGCAGCTAATGGCACATGTTTTGTACTCTTGATATTGCTGGCATTTGGAAATGTTTTACAGTCGTAATTCACTTTTTTGTAACCTTGTGAAGTACTTTTGAGTTCGGCAGTTCCTGCTCTGACCAACATTTTCATGCTGAATGAACTCAGCTGGGAATGCGAATAGTGAAAGATGGCAGTAGAAATGAGAATAGAGTTGCTTGCCAAAATGAAAGGAGGAACCTAAAAGCACCCATAAAGTCATTTGCACAAAGTCTGAGCAAATCTAATGGCTAGACTACAGTTTTTTGAGATGATAACTTTTGAAAATACTGTCAGTACTCTGGAAGATTTGGACTTGTTATTGAATGGCATCGCTTTTGTCTCCATTCTGCAAACAAGTTCTGATTTTTGCTATTTCACTTTTCACTTCAGGAGAAGGTGGAGCTGGAAGATATACTGAATAAATTGCGGGAAGATGGTCTGGATACTGATGCCTGCTCTGCAAATGAGCATCTCTGTCATCTGTGGCGTATATACCTGCGGGCCGAGGGCACGCTGCAAGCCACCATGCAGGATCTGGAAGGGGTGCGACAGCAACAGGCCTCCGAGATGAAAGAGGTGAGATCTGTCAGCAGGATGGCGCATTTTCGATCCCTTATGAGATTTTAAAAGTAAAATCTTGTTTTGTGTGTGACTCGTCTCAATCTAACAATCCTATATGTAGTCTGCAACTTTGGCCAAATTAAATATGTGTGAATGATTGTTTCCATAGCAAATTTTGAAACCTGTGTAAAACAAGGAACTGTGAATGCTGGAGGTATGAAACAAAAACAAAAATTCCTGGAGAAAAGCAATTAACTTAGCCTCCTTATTTCCAAATTTAAGTATGATGGGAAAAGTGACTCAGTCCTTTCTTGTCTGTTTTTAATATTTATTTTGCTACATAGTAACACACATAGTTCTTGGTTTATCTGTTGAATGAATATAAACATACCAAACCAATAGATCATACTTATCATTTCATGAGTTGGCGATATAGTTGATTTAGAGACTAAATTTAGAAGTGGTTTGGGAACAACCAATTTGTGTGATCATGCCTACAACCATTTTGAGATTCTGTATCAGAGACATTTATTCACCGCCGTGAAGCTGTTTATGGATGTCAATCATCAGATATCCCACCTTAGTGGCTATTTCTCACATCCAATTCCAGGCAATAGGTGTATTCTGACTATTTGCCTAAGGGGCTAGGCCCTCTCTGGCCCTCATCTGATATCCGGGTGCACACAGCATATTTTGGCTTGCAATCTGTAGCTGGGATCCTAATTGATTTGTATCCAGGGCCAGGGAGAGAAGACACGGGTCCAGGTACTTCTCCTGTTTTTGCATCCCTTACCTCCATTCCTCCTCATCTCAGTCTTAAATGGCGTGCTCTTTAGTCTGAGATTTTATGTCCTCTGTTTCTAGACTCACCAGCCAGGGGAAGAATCCTGTCTATATCCACCATGTAACGCCTTGTAAGAATGTTTTAATTTCAATGAGGTTGCCTCTCATTCTTCAAAATTCTAGAAAATACAGGCTCAGTTTCCTCAAACTCTCCTTCTAACACAATCCCACCATCCAGGAATTAATCTGGTGAAGCTCTGTTGCATTCCCTCTGCGACAGGCATAAACTTACTTTGATAAGGAGACCAAAACTATACACAGGACACTAGGTGCAATCTCGCCAAGGCAGTATACAATTGCACCAAGATACCTTCTGTACTCAAGTCCCTGTGTGATACAGGCCAATATACGACTGACTTCTTTATTGATTGTTGCACCTGCATCCTAGCTTTTAGTGACACATGAACAATGATACCAAGATTCCTCTTAACACCAACACTTTCAACCTCTTACAAGTTAATAAATATTCCCTGAAGAAGGGTCCGGAGAAGGGTTCTGAAGAAGGGTAACTGGACCCAAAACATTATTTTTATTTCTTTCCATAGATGCTGCCAGACCTGCTCTGTTTTTCCAGCAGTTTCTGTTTTCGTTTATGAATAAATATTCCCTTTTCTATTTTTTCTACTAAAATGGACACCATTATATTTATTGACAATATATTCCATCTGCCACATTCTTGCCCATTCACTTAGACTGTCCAAGTCCCCTTGAATCCTCTTTCAATTTGCCCCACAACTTACATTCTTACCTAGTTTTGAACCATCAGAAAATTTCAAAATATTACAATTGGTCCCACATTCAAATCATTTACATAAATTGTGAACAGCTCTGGCACTAGCACTGAACCTTGCAGAAAACACTAGTAACAGCCTGCCATCCTGAGAATGATTCATTGATTCCCATTCTCTGTTTTCTGTCTGTGAACCAGTTCTCAGTCCATATTAGTATAGTAAAACCAGTACCAAACACTCTTAATTTTGTATATTAATCCTCAATGTGAGACCTTATCAAAAACTTCTAAAAATCCAAATACACCACATCCTTTACTGATGCATAAAAACTACATTCTCTCTAAATTTACCTAACACAGTGCAGACATCTAAGGTCCATGTATGACAGCAGCAGAAGTTAAGCATCAGCACGCCAGTTGGTGTCTGCAGTGCAGGTTAGGGGAAAATTGGCTACAAGTAACATCCTCAAAAAAAAACTCCAACAGGTTTGTCAAACCTGATTTGCCTCTCACAAATCTGTGTTGACTCTGCCTAATTTTGCCATTATTTTATAAGTGTCCAGTTATCACTTCTTTTACAATAGTTTCTAACATTTTCACTGTTGCTGATGTCACACTAATAGGTCTGTTGTTCTCCATTCTCCCACTCCCTTCCTTCATAATTAGTGGGGTTACATTTGCTACCTGTAGTCTGTAGGAGTGTTTGCAGAATGTATAAAGCTTTGTAAAATAATTACCAATGCAGCCACTATCCCTATAGACACTTCTTCCAATCTTCTGTGATACAGCTCATTCGGTCCAGAGTATTCAGAAACCTTCAATCTAGTTAACTTTCAGGAACAACCTCTTTATTGATACTAATTTCTTTCCATTCCTCAATTTCATTGGTCCATTTGTGCCTTGTGGTTCCAGGAGAGTTTCTGTAATTTCAACACAAAGTAAATGTTTAGCTCCTCCATTGTCTCCCTGTTCTCCATTGTAAGTTCTCCTGTCTCCACCTATAGTGGACCCACATTTTCTGAGCTAAACTTTTCTTTGCCACATACCTGAGGAAATGTTTACACTGTGCCCTTATGTTTGTTGATAGCTTGCATTCATTTATAGAGCCAAAGAGCTTGGAAACAGACCCTTTGGTCCAACTTGTCCACACTGACCATGTTCCCAAACCAAACTAGTCCCACTTGCCTGCATTTGGCCCATATCCCTCTAAACTTTTCCTATTCATGTACTTATCCAAATGTCTTTCAAATGTTATAATTATACCTGCATTCCCCACTTCCTCTAACAGTTCATTCCACACATGAACCACTCCCTGTGTAAAAAATTTGCCCAATGTCCTTTTTTAAATTTTTCTCCTCTCACCTTAAAAATATCCACCCTAGTTTTGAACTTCCCCACCCTAGGGAAATGACCCTTGCTATTCACTTTATCTATGTCCCTCATGATTTTATAAACCTCTATAAAGTCACCTCTCAACCTCCTAAGTGCCAGTGAAAAAAGTCCCAACCTATCTTTATGACTCAAACTTTCCATTCATGGTAAATCTTTTCTGAATCCTCTCCAATTTAATAATATCCTTCCTGCAGCAGGGTAACCAGAACTGTGTGCAGTATGCCAGAAGAGGCCTCACCAATGTCCTATACAACCTCAACATAACATCCCAACTTCTATACTCAAAGGTCTGAGCAATGAAGGCAAGCATGCTAAATGTCTTCTTGACCACCCTGTCTACACGTGATACAAATTTTGATGAATTATGTTCCTGAACACCTAGGTCCCTCTGTTTTACAACATTACCCAGGGCCTACCATGAGTTGTATAAGTCCTGTTCTCTTCTCTTTCTTTATCAATTTCTTTGTTGTCCTTTGCTGGCTTCGAAATTGCCCCCAGTTTTTCTGGTATCCCTGTAAGTAACTTCCTTTGGTTCAGTGCAATCTGAAAATTATTTTATTAGTCACGGTTGATTCACCTTTACCGCTGGGTCTTTGTGTCTTAAAGGAATACATTTCTGTTATAGATCATGTAGTACTTCTTTAAATACTAGCCATTGCCCATCAATTATCAAATCTTGCAGTATATTTTACTGTAAAAAAGTTGCTGCTCGTACTTTCATAATTTTCCTTGTTCAGATTTAAGATCTCAGTTTCAGAATAAACTGTATCATATTCAAACATAATGTGTATTCTTTTAAATTAACTTAATTCTTTCACATTATGGTTATTATTGTCCCAAAGACTCCTTTACAGCAAAGCTATTATTTAGCCCTTTCTCATTACATAAAATAAAATCAACAATAGCCTGATCTCTGCGCTGCTCCAGAAATCTATCACCTACACACTCCAGGAAATTCATCTGCTACAAGATTAGTGCAGATTAAGCTTATCCTGTCTGTATGTAAATTGAAGTCACTCATTATTACTATCTGAACATCACTAAATGCATCTCCAACTGAAGGTATAATCATTCCCACACCAACTGCCAAGTTTCCTTCCACCATCTCAACTCCTCCTACTGGACCTCACTCTCCCAAGTGCTGTTTTGCAGCAAGGGCTCAGGATGAGTGCCAAACAAGATTGATTATGGAGGGTCATTTGGTGGGAGGAGGTTGTGAAGGGATACCATCAAGCAGGAGAAGTTGGAAAAATTGTCTTTGGAGTACCAACACGGCATAATGTGATATACGTTCGGAGGACCTGGAACATTGCATTTGGATACTGTGGAGCAGGATGTTGCACTAACCCAACATAGAGGCAAACATTTTTCCTTGTCTACTTTGTGCTCCAGAACTGAAGAAATCATCTGTAGTGTCCTCCACCACTGATATCCAGAACAATACTCTTTGCATGAGGCAAGGCAAGAAAGTAGGGACTGGGGAATCATGTTTGACCTGCTCAGCCAATGATTGGTGTTATTGTCTCAGAGTCAAAAGTAGCCAGTCTGGTGCATAGACTTTCCAGTTTGACAGGTGACTCAATGATTGCTGATGTTCTGACAGTGTGTGAAATTAATTGCTTGTGTCTGGACACCAGTAGGGCACAAGTTCTGGTGTTTTGCACCTTGTACATCAGTCCCTCTCCTGAGCCTTGTTTGTATCCCTAATTCTTTGTGCTTGCTATCTGATGCTGACACTGGAAATGTTGATCTAATTTGAGCCCCAGTAGTACGCGGAATTTCAGAAAGATCTGACTCTGCACGATTTGATATTATCTTTAGGTAACTGGTAGCCAGAATGGCTTAGTACTACCCCAATTGTGCTGTACTTCGGTCATGTCGAGGAACCTCATTAAAAGATTGTATCTCAAATACAAGCATCTGCAACTTGTTGAGCCTTTATCCCTGCTGCTTATATGTATTATAATCCTTGTAATCAAACTCCTGCTGCGTGACATGTATAATGAAGTGTTTAAATTTTTTTGTAGTTTGTAAGTAATAACACATTAAGCTCAACAAAAGCCATCTTTGAATTCAGATGAATTTTGTATTGAAACAAGAATATGGCTTGAAAAGGCTGAAGTCGCCGAGGATACAAAATCAAATGTAAGTACTTCTCGGATGACCTGACCCCCATCTTACTCGTCGCTGTAGTGATGTCACAGTTTGGAGAAGCCTTCCACCAGTTTTGCATTGCCATCCTCTACCACCACCCATGAACCATAACTAGCTCATCCATAGAGTGATGTGGCAATCTTTTTCTGCAGGTAGAAAATTATGTGGATCATATTCGCAACCTGTCAGAGGAGCGGGAGGCACTCACAGCTGAATATGAGCAGGAGAATGAACTACTAAAGATGGAGCTACAGCGACTGAAGTTGGAGCAAGGTCGGCATTGCAACCACTCAACCTTGTTTTAACGTTCCCTCCCCAAACAGATTTGAGGTGGATTTGATTGTCATTGACCTATATTTGTTTCACCTGCACATTGTGGTCATGTGAACGAAGATTTTCTCACATTTCATTACTTTCTTGTCCTAGAGGGATATAACTTTGCAGTCACTGGTAGCTCTTCAATGTCTTGCCCTCAAGTATTTGTTCTTCATGCAAGAGTGTAGACAGGAAATCTCAGCAAGCTATTTAAACCATAATGACAGAGTCATAGCTCAAATCCATTTACACACACACGCGCGCACACACACATTTTCAGTAAATTGAAGCACCTGTAAGTTTGTTTATAAGGATTGGACAGGCTCAAATTCCATTCTAACCCCATCCTTCCTTGAGTCATCATAAGCCTAAACAGCAGCCAGACAATCTTTTCCTATGCTTCGACCAAGACTAGTCGAAATAAGATAGTGAGGCAAGAGAAAGAAGGTCAAAATAACTCTTGTAATGTATTTAATAACATTGTCGCCACTTGATGACTCCACACTGTGCTATTTTTAGAAATTAGAAAGTCACAGCGGTGGGAAATTCAACAATTAAGCCTATTCCTGAAGCTGGTCATAAGTACTGTAGAGTGCATTGGTACCAAAATTTCAACTATATGGTCTCATTGTTGATGCAAGAAAATCTTAAACTTTTAGTCAGTTTTTGTTTCGTCGCATTGCATGTTGGATGTTGAGACTGAGTATTCTCCTCAAGATTAAAAGTGCGGAGAGGATGGGAGATAGTTGTATTTGAGCGCATAAGTATCATTCAGTCTCAATTTGCCTTTTTTATATTTCTGTGATGAATACTTTTGTTCACATTCATATGAATGAAAAATGCCCACATAAACCTGTGCACTCATTGCTGTGGCATTTGCATTTTGAGTTGTGAATGAAACATAGCATGCTCGAATCATTAAATATTTACTATTAAATGTAGACGTGACAATTTTTGATGGGAAAAAATGACCCTTCATGTGAGTGAATGATTTTTAATATTTTAATATTTTCAAATGATCGTATGTTGAATGGATTGTTCATTATATCTGACTAATTACTATTGCATTTCCATAACGGAATCTCTAGGTCCTGGAAAGCTGCAGGCTTTTATAGTATGTAAATTCATTATTGCCACAACCCAGTGTCTGTATATTTCGACATATCGTGCAACTGAATGACTGCAACCACAAAACTATTTGTTATTGGAGTAGAATATTTCAAACATAATTGTTTAAAGCACTACTTTTACTTCCAAATTGAAGCTGGTTCAATTTATAGTAAAATCATAATTTCAGAAAAAGGGATGGCAGTTCCAATTTTCCATTGATATGAAGGCATTTCAGATGTGCGTTGACCGAACAGTTAGGTTCCTAATTTAAGCTATGGCTCATTTGTTTCCAAATCAGAATGCTGTGGGTACCGCAGCATTGACTTCAGCACAAAATTTAGGTTTACACTCCAGTGCAGTACTGCGGGAGGTTTATACTTTTAGATGTGCTGATTTTCTCATTAAACATTAAACTGGGTTGTCCAAAGAAGAGCACCATTTTTATCCCTGTTATCCTGGCCAATATTTATCCTTAACCAGCATAACTGAAAGAAAGTAATATCCAGTATTTATCACAGGACTATTTGAGGTTACTGCTATGCTCAAGTTAGCTGCAGCATTCCCTGCATTACTGCCATGATTACACTTGGGTGGAAGACAGTACTTAATGGTTGTGAAGTGTTTTAGGTTGTGAAAGTTGCTATATAAAAGCACAACTTCTTCTCTTCATGTATCTAAAGGGTATAGGAGACATGTAACTGGTCACCTGGCATCATCTGATCACCACATTGTATAGGATTCAACTCCAATGTAGTATATACATTAGGTTTAAAAAGGTGTTTGAGAGTTCCGTTGGCTCGCTGGACATTTTGTAAAATACTTAACAGTTCTTTAAAATGTATTGAATGAGCATTTTAACAACAAAATACAGTGTTTTACAGATGAGGGTATATAAAGAGTGACACCTAGCGACTAGAATGTGATTTACGTACACAGACTGCATAATATAACTGTGTAGCATATGCTGTTGCTAGTGGCAGCCATCTGTCTCAAACTTATAATGAATGACAGCCACAGTAATTGGCATTATCCATTAAATTTTTTACTTTGGCCAACATGAACTGTTCTCTGAAATAAAAGCAGAAAAGTAGAAACATAGATCCATCAACATCAAAAAGAGAAAATGTATGTTAATATTCGCAGTGGGACACTATCAGCATTCTCTTCTGTTAGAAATATTAATCTTTCTTTTTACATTCAAACTTCAGGCGAACATATGGATGAGAAACAGAAGTAATCCATTCAGCCCCTCAAGCTTACTCCTTCCATTCAATAAGATCATGACTGATGTCTGTGTTTTGAATTTTACATTCCCATTTAACCCTTGATTTCACTGCCTAACAAGAATCTGTCAGTCTTAAAAATACTCAATGACCCTGCCTCCTGAGACAGAGTTCCAAAGTTGCACAACCCTCTGAAAGAAAAAAAAATCTCCTCATCTTTGTTCTGAAATGGCAACCTTTAATTTTTTGAACAGTGTCCCTCAGTTCTGGACTCGCCCACAAGAGGAAACATTTTTTCCATGTCCACCTTGTCAAGACCATTCAGTGTGTTATGCATTTCAATCAAGTCACCTCTCACTCTTCTAAAGTCCAGTAGAACTGAGCCCAACCAGTCCAACCTCTTCTCGTAAGACAACCCAATTATTCCAGGTATCAAACCAGTAAATTTCCTCTGAATTGCCTCCAATACATTTACAAACTTCCATAAAAAAGGAGATAAAAATTGGACTCAGTTTTGAGACAAAAACAGAAATTGCAGGAGAAAATCAGCAGGTTAATGTTTCAAGTCCAGTGACACTTCTTCAGAAATGTTAACTCTGCTTTCTCTCCACTGATGTTCAGTTTCTCCAGCAATTTCCATTTTTGTTTCAGGTCTTCAGCATCTGCAGTCCTTTGTTTAATATCAGCATTAGAGATTTGGTCTCACCAATGCCCTGTATAACAAAGCACCACATCCTTACTTTTATGTTCCGTTCCTCTCATAATAAAGGAGAGCATCCCATTAGCCTTCTTGATTATGTGCTGTACCTGCACACTAACCTTTGTGACTCATGCACCAAAACATCTAAATCACTCTGCAGCTCAGAATTCTGCAGTTGTTTCCTTTCTAGGTAACAGTTCTTCCTGCCGAAGTGAACAGCTTCAAATTTTCCCACATAATATTTGATCTGCCAGATTTTTGCCCACTCACTCAATCTATCTATATCCATTTTCAACTTCCTTATATCTTCTTCACAAACATAGTTTCTTACCTATCTTAGTGTCATGTGACTTTAGCTTCCGTTCTTTCACTCCCCTCATTTATAAACAGTCGAGATCCCGGCATAGACCTCTGTGGGAGTCCACTTGTCACATCCTGCCAAACAAATGAAGGTCCATTAACGCACACTTACTGTTTTCTGCCAGCTAGCCAATTTTGTAATCATGCTAATATGTTACCTCCATGTCGTGAGTGTTTACTTTCCACAATAACCTATGGTATAGCATCTTATCAAATGCCTTTTGGAAACCCAAGTATAGCATATCTTACAAGTTCCCTTTTATCCATAACACATGTTGCTCCTTCAAACATTGCAATAAATTGGTAAAACTTGATTTGCCTTTGACAAATCCATGTTGACACTTCCCAATCAGTGATCAATTCTGACGTTTTCCCCATGACAGACATCAAGCTGATTGACCTATAATTTCCTGTTTTCTGTCTGCCTCCTTCATTGGAGGGAATATATTTGCAACTTTCTGTCCGATAAAATCTTTCCTGGATCTCAGGGATAATTGCAAAATTAGTACCAATGCATCTACTACCTCATTAGCATTCCGTTTCTTTTACCTTGGGATGAAATCCATCTGGATCTAGGATTTGTCAGTCCACAGCTCCGTCAGTTAGCTTAGTATCACTTCCTAGTACTTGGAATTTTCTAAATTCCTCTCTCACTTCCACCTCCTGGTTACAGCTCTAACTACAATGCTTTCTGTAGCCCCTGTAGTGAAGACCAAAGCAATCTCCTCTTCGTCTGCCATTTCCTTATTATTTACATCTAATTCTCCATTTCCACTCTTCAGAGGACCAATGTGCCATATTTCCAACATTATTCCTCTACATTTCTAGTATTCCTGATTTCTGCTTCCAAAGGATAGGTTTAGATGCAGAAGGCCTTTCAGTCGTATGGTTACATTCTAAGGTACTTAACATCTACCCATTACAGCATAACAGGCACCTGTATAGATAGAAGATAGACAGGAATGTCAATTTATGCTATTTTTCTGATCTTATTTATTAACCATTGGGTGATTTGATGATGCAGTATACTGGAGATCCACTATGCAGCAGGGTGAAATGGTATTTACAAATTTCTCTCCTTAGGTTCTCACTGTCATTAGTGCTCATCAAAAAGACACTGAGTGGAAGCCAAATATCCCTGTAAGTGGGTAAGGAGAAAATCAGGCAGGAAACTTTCAACGTGTCTATTGATGGATTGCTAAAGAGTAGAAAAACCTTGTGTTTGTGTAGCACCTATCATATCTTCAGGGTGACCTAAGAAGCTTCAAAGACAATTAAGTACTTTTGAAGACACAATCACATTGTAATGTAGACCGATGCAGTAACAAATCTGTACACAAGATTCCACAAAAGACAATGCAATAATTGATCAATTCATCCATTTTTAATGGTGTTGATTGAAGGATACTGTTGGCCAGGAAACCTGAAGAGCTGACATGCTCTTTAAAAAGTGTTTTGGGATTATTTAAATCCAAATGAGAGAATATCTAATGTATTTAAAGGCTGCCCTGAGTTGTTGGTTGAGTTTATGTGTTCCAGTCTGTCACTGAGTCAAGGCTGATTCCAGTGGCATTAAGTAGAAGACTCGGGGAGCAGAATTCCTTCCTTGTAGGCAGATTGGGGGTTAAATAAGAAATATATGTATCTTCACAGGAAGGAGCATACTGTGATTTTTTTAAAAAATCAATAGTTTTCACTACTAACCCAAGTACTTTGGACCGATGGATGTACAGAGACACAGGTGAAGGAAGTGGAAGAGATGTTGCAGCAAGAAGGTCTGGCAGAGATTGCACACAGTGGCCCAAGTGAGCAGGTAGCCTATCTTCTTGTGGAACGTGCTACACTGCTGGAAAAGTTGGAATCAGCAGAGAGAAAGGTGGATTCACAGAGTGTCACAGGAAGCATTCGTGAAACACACCAACAGGTAAGAAACTGTTACAATACCTACATAAAATATTGAAATGTGCTTGATTTAATATGTCAGCTTCATTCAAAAGTTATCAGTTTGAGCACTTTTATAAAACATTCAATTTTTTTTAATATTTCTGAAAAAAGGCAAATTTTGTAAAGTGCATCAAATCCATCCTGTGAGATTTTTGCTTCCCTTATTAGATTTCTGCTGTGTATCTTGTGAACTCAAGAGTAGGCTTAAGGTCACCGCTGTTGGTCCTGGATTGTGGCCGGACTACCTCAGATTACCTTGGATTAGTAAGGTCTATCAGAAATTTGAGCAATTGGTGAATCTAGCCGTTTTGCACTGTTTCTATGCAGTAGCAATATGAGTGGTATTAACAGTGGTACTAACAGGATGCCACTGTCAAGCCAAAATGTCACTCCGACTGTCTCACAGATGGACAATGTGGTGTATGAATTTTCGCACTGGTGTGGTGCTAGGTATGTAGGCTGTATGTCCCAAGGTTGGCAGATCATATTAAAGAAAATGTCCTTTCTGCTGTTCGCAACAGGCAGGGAGGGTAATGATTGTATCCCACCACCTCATGCTTGCAAAACGCAAAATACGGTGTCCAAAATTTGATGTGATTTTGTGTTTGGAGAACATTTGCTAAGTATTCCTGAAAGTGCAGAGAATTATGCTAACATTGAATTGAAGCTATCAGTCAGTCTTGGCAGTGTGACACATTTAGGGGGAGGCGATGGGCTAATGGTATTATCGCTGGACTGTTAATCCTGAGACCCAGATAACATTCTGGGGACCTGGATTTGAATCCCACCACAGCAGATGGTGGAATTCGAATTCAATAAATATCTGGAACTAAGAATCTAATGATGACTATGAATCCATTGTCAATTGTTGGAAAAACCCATCTGGTTCACTAATGTCCTTTAGGGAAGGAAACTATCATCCTTACTTGGTCTGGCCTACATGTGACTCCAGACCCACAGCAACGTGGTTGACTCTTAACTGCCTTCTGGGCAAGTAGGGATGGGCAATAAATGCTGCTTAGCCAGCGGTGCCCTCACCCTGTGAATGAATAAAGAAAAAAAATTTGCATATACTGGAAGCTACATATATTAGTACACAGGGTCTTTGCGGTCAGAAAAAAATCATGTATAAACTTTCCACCTGTTTCAAAATAACAAAATTGATGACAGATATTCTCTGTTACATTCCTCAGGGCAATGACTTGACCAATCAGAATCAACCTGTCTAGTTTAAGTTTAAACAAAGAATTGAGGATGCTAGAAATGTCCCATTCTGAAGGAGAACTCTGCTTTCTCTCTGCTGAATTTTCCCAGCAACTTTTGTATTTTGTTCTTTGCAGTTAACTGTCAGTCAGTATCTCATGGTACATTTTCCTGTACAAATCGTAGTCTGTTTGGCAAACAATCAGCATTCTCTTCTTATGCAGTATAAAATGTTATTCCGCTTTGTTTTGGTATTTTTGTATGTATACTGATGTGCTAAAACTTTGACAAAATGTGTCTTCTTTAAGTAATACTGCAGTTCTGTACTAACTATTGACCATATGTAATGTTTTGTTAACTGCTTAGTGCACATGGGATATATTTTCCTCCTGTTACTAATGTAAATTACTAAGACAGTATGAGCTCCATACGCTGTAAGCTATTTACCACAATTCATTGTGTTTCCTACTTTGCCTTCTAGCTTCACAGCTTGCTTATTATTACACATTAATATTATTATTGTTATCACATTGTAACCTGTTCGCTCTGGGCAGCAGAATCACCATTATTCAGCAGACAAGAGATGCCTCCACCCCTCCCATGGGAATGGAAATGAACAAGGTTGAATTCAATCAATGAAAGTATGCAGACTTCATGTATTTGAGTTACATTTTTGTAAGTTTTGTTACAGCGATATTGGATGTTTTGTAACGTGATTTGCACTATGGGATCTGCTAAATGGAACAGGTAATGGCAAAATACTTGTAGAGGGACAAAAGTTATCAATGAATCCACATTAACTGACTGATTAGGAAAGTGAACAATACTGAAGCTTTAATCATTGACTGTACAGGGAAAGATATTCATAATAAAGCCCTGATTGACTATCAGTGTTTGCTTTTGCTGGTGATTTAGTCTAACAAGGTCACATGTCATTCACATTTTATCTTGCTCTTAGGAGGAGTTGGACCACATGCGGCAAACCCTGGAAGAGGAATTGAAACAGCAACGGGAGTCCATGCAGCGCACCAAGGAAACCATGGCAAAGGTAAATTAGAAATTTACAAGAGATATTGTCCCACAGTCCTGTGCAAGAATTATACTTTTGTGTTGCTGAAAAAAGACACACTTTATTCTTTGAAGATGTAACAAGCAATGTGGATAATATGGATCCTGTAGATGTATATCTGAATTTCTGCAGTAATTTGATAAAGCACCGTACTAAAGGTTAACAGTGTTGCTGCAACAATAAAAAACTTGAATGAGACTGCACCTGGAGTTTTTCATAGAGTTTTGCTCCCCTTACTTGAGGAGGGATTTCACCGCATTGGAAGCTATTCAAAAGACATTCACTAAATTGAGCCCAGTGAGGACTCAAGTGAGCCCCTATTTACTTTTCTGGGGTGAGCAGAGGACCTGGCATCGAAATCGGCAGCTTCTGCACTGGCAAAGGTGATGTAGACAAAGTAGGCCCAGAGGCGAAAGATGGTGCCTGAGGATCGGCCATTTCATTGTTGATTGGGTCTGGCGCTGGCAATAGCGATGTGGAGATGGAAGGACACCACAGCGACATGAACGAGGTGAGCCGAGTGGCAAAAGATGCAACTCTGATGTTTGTGGGTCTGGCAGAGGCGGTGGCAAGGCAATGGCAGAGGAACATCAGCCCAACGGCAAATGATGGCTCCTGAAGAGTGGCAGCATTGTTTGGGTGCAGTGTAGGTGGCGGTGAGTCAGTGGAGGAGGAGTGGTGATGCAGGTGACATTGATGATGAACTGGCTCAGGACTGATGGACTCTATGAGCTGTATTTTTTTTGTTATTCTTGGCAACAGTGCAAAAGCTTTTCACTGTATTACTGTTTTTCTCACTGTAAAATACACACCATTCATCCATTCATTAAATTGATTCCAGAAATGAGGGGCTTACCTTATCAAGAGAGAATGAGCAGCTTAGGCCTAAATTCTTTAGAGTTTAGAAGAATGAGAAGAGATCTAATTCAGGTATATAAGATGCTAAAGGGGATAGACAAAGTCGATGCAAATAGAATGATTCCTCTTATGGGGCAATCTGAAAGAGAAGTCATAGTTTTAGGATGGGCGTAGCAGATTGAAAACAGAGATGAGGAGAAGTGACTTTTCTCAAAGTGTTGTGAATCTGTAGAATTCACTACCACAGAGCATACAAGTTCTTTCCATCTGCAAAGAAGAGGGCACTGTGCATTAATACATACAACTTCAAACACACACAAGTGTGCCAGACTATGAGCCTGACTGACAATCCTAAATTGGTTGTCAGTGTAATTCTTCACATACTCAGGGTTGTTTAGTTAAAGTTGGTTAATTGCGGAATCACAGCACGCAGTAAACAATAAAAACCGAAAGAGTTGCAGATGCTGTAAATCAGGGACAAAGACAGAAGTTGCTGGAAAAGCTCAGCAGGTCTGGCAGCTTCTGATGAAGGGTCACCGGACCCGAAATGTTAACTCTGATTTTTCTTCGCAGACGCTGCCAGACCTGCTGAGCTTTTCCAGCAACTTCTGTTTTTGTACATAGTAAACAATGTTTTGGGTTTTACCAGAGTGGCCGAATTGGGTAAAAGCAATGCTGTTTGATGTGATCTGCCAATCTTTGAGATGTTCTGCCTATATGCCTAGCATATTACATAGGTAATGAAATTCATATACCACATCTGTGTGATATGTTGAACATCTTTTTCGCTTGACAACAGCATCCTATTAGCTACTGCATTGTAGTAGCATGAAACATCTAGCATCACTTGTTGCTCAGATTTTAACCATAGGTAACCTGTGGTAGACTGGGCACTTTCAGACTGTAAGTCCTTAGGTTTATTTGTAAGTTTGTGCAATAGACAGTGAGAAAAGATCTGATCAGGATTACCATTATCCTTTGGGATAGCTTTGATGCACTCTGTCAGTATAAAGTTTGCACAGTGAACAAAGTCTTAGGGCCTATTTACAAGGTTGCTGATAAGGCCAAACTTAAACCACGTGGAACATGTGTATTGATCAATGAAGGTAGGTTTACGAGAAACGGGAGAAGAGAAAGATCCAAAGATGTGCAGGATAGGTCGATTGGCCGTACCAAATTGCCCGTAGTATTCAGGCATGTGTAGGTTAGTTGGGTTATTGTGGGATGAGTCTGGGTGGGATGCTGTGAGGGTTGGTGTGGTCTTGTTGGGCTGAAGCGCCTGTTTCCACACTGTAGGGATTCTATGATTCTAAGAAACCCAGGCAATTTCTCAACTAGGACATCAACAAAAGAAGCTCATTTGATTGCCTCATTTCAAACTGAATTTGAGCGCAGAATGGAACCCATTAAGAAATATAAGGAAATTCAAGCAGATTCAAATATAGCAAATGTATCATCTACGGATTGGACATGTGACAGGGATGAAAGGTTAGATGTCAATCCATCAAGGACGCATTTTTCAAGGAACTCAGCATCGATGTTTGTGAGAGATGGGCATAACAGGAATCCCGTGGCAAAACTGTCTATTTGGATATACATGGTGTTGTTAGAACTGAACTCAATTGGGCAATAACCCAACTAACCTACACATGCCTGAGTTTGTAAGTTCAGTGAATGGTGGTTGGTCTAGATTGCTTCACTGTGAATTTCTATGGCTTCTTTGAGTGGTACATTGATGAAGACACTGGCAATATCAAATGAATACAAGGATACTGCATTTCTATTAATGTGGAATGGTCTTTGCACCTTTGAAGGAATTTTTTACCATTTAAGTGGAAAACATGCTCAAAACTGGTCGTAGCAATTTGCCCAGCTATTTGGCCTGTTCACATTGAGCAGAATAAGATGGATAAGATATGGTGTAAGATATGTGTTCTTGGGCAGTCTGTATTTGCGTGGATGCAATGAGCCATGAAGCTGAATCCTATCATATATCACCTGTGGCTTGTTCTTCTTATGTGGATATGTCAAGCATTTTTTTGATTGTCCAGTCATACTGAACAACAGGTCTAATGGGCCTGTGGATATCATGTTTGCTCCTGAGAAGTGACTGGTCTTTCTCAGATTACCTTGGAAGGGTAAAATCTCTCAAAGATTTGAGCAAAATGTAAAGTTGCAGTGGTTAAAATGTTGGTATTGCATAACAAAATCAGTAGACTGTGTGAATAATAATATTTTAAGATATATTAAACTCGGGATTATTGACTTTTAATGGAACATAGAATTTAGCAGCAGGATTAGGCCACTCGGCGGTTTGAACCTGCTCCATCATTGAATAAGATAATGTCTGATCTGGTTGTGGGCTGAACTACACATTTCTGTTTGTTTGTCCTTGTAGACGCTGACTCCCTTGTGTACTAAAAATCTATGTAACTCTGCCTTCAATAAGTCTGCCTTCACTACTCTTCGGGAAGAGAATTCCAAAAACTAACCACTCTTTGAGAGAAAATATTTATTTTCATGTCTGCTTTAAAAGGGAAACCTCTTATTCTTAAACTCTGTCCCCTAGTTCTAGTCTCCACCACAAGAGGAAACATTACCCCCAGTATCCAACCTATTAAATCCCCTCAGGATCTTGTATGTTTCAATCAAACCATCTTTCATTCTTCTAAATGCGAATGGTTATAAGCCTAACCTATCCAACCTTTCCTCCTAGGCTAACTGGTTTGAGTGAATCTTCTCTGAACTGCTTCTAACTATGTCCTTTGTCAAATAAGGAGATTAATACTGTACAAGATACTGTGGATGCAATCTCTTCAAGGCGCTGTACCGTTGCAGTAAAACATCTCTACTTTTATATTCCATTCTCCTTACAATAAATAGCCAACATTTCATTTGCCTTGCAATTCATTTAATGTATCTGTATATTAACTTTTTTGTGATTCATGTACCGGCACAACCTGACTACCGCAGAGTTCTGCAATTTTTCTCCATTTAATTAGTATGAGTTCCTGCCAGTGGAGGGTCAGGCAGTAATCACCCTGTTCCAAAATCAATAGAGGCATTAAGAAGTGGGCCTCTGGAATGCATTGTAATTATCCCTTAGCCTGCAAAAGAGAATGACAGCAGATTTCTATTCTAAATAAAGATGAGATTTGCAGAAAAGTCAATTCAGCCATGTTGCTGCATTGATTCACTGCAAGGAGTTAACTGAATCTTGAGTTTGAACTCTACCTATGCTTTTATTTTAATGTTCTTTCTATTGTTTAATCATTATTAGTTGCATTTCTAGCTTTTTCCTTTGTTTTTTCACTTTTAATTGTAATTTTGTACTGTATTCTTTCAAAGGATCCTTTATCAGAACCTGCGAGTCCATGGAAGAAGCTATTTGGGGTTCGTCAGCAGACGCACAGCGTCTCCAAAGACATAGCCGTATGTCCCCCTTCCTCTCTGCCCGTAGCCAGGCTGTACCTATAATTACTGGCTACATCTGCACAGAGCAAGGCAGCAGAGGGCACACATGCAGTACTAACATTTTTGGTGGAATCTTCCCCTTTCAGCAGTGGCAGGGAAGGTTGCAGGAAGGGCTGCTATTTGGGTGGATTGGAACTGGGAAGATGCCCACTTTTTCTTCCAACCACCTTGGAAATTAAATTCTGGGCAGAAAAGCCCATGGTTCATGTTCCACACACACTACCAATTAAGGCCTTAAGTAGCCAATTAACAACCACTTAAAAGCCACTTCACACCACTGCCATGATTAACCTGTTTTTGGCAGGCGTCAAGAGTGGCAACCTTCCTGACTAATCAAATGGAGCAACTTGCCTGCTAGGGTGTGTGGGAGAGGGGAGGGTGGTGCAACCTCTTTCTGCCCCACTCTGGATTCTTACCAGTTCCTTAAACCTAACCTTGAACAAGCATTTCTTAAATCTTTCCTTTGCTCAACTCTGACAGACATTGTTTGTTATGTTGAAAGTGCTATATAGAGCTATTGGGAGTTCATCTGCTGAAATGAGTAGCTGAGAATGCTGTTTAAGACTAGGATATTTAATAATATCTTAATATCTACGTAATATCTAAGTTAGGAAACAGCTTGATGTAGCTTTAAAGAATGAAATCAAATGGTGCAAAGGCCAGCAATTATTTGCCACCATCTGGTTGGTTTTGCATACAAATTTCAAGTGTGCCCCTTTCAATTATACCATTTTATGGGACACTGTGTGGATCTTTGATCTGCCTTGCTCTGTCTGAGATTTGGACTGCCCTAGAGCTCCAGCTGTATTAACACCACTTACCAGGTCTCCAGCATGTCTTCTGCAGCGACCAGACTCTGCATGTACGGAACTTCTCACTTCCTTTTAACTCCCTCTTACCTCCTCTTTCCCTGACAGACAAAGAGTGCCAGTCTGACACTAGTACTGAATGATTGAAGACCGGGTTAATGTCTCAACTGTATTACTTAGTGCTATGATAAATAATAGTGAATGCATCTAGGGTTCCAATATTCCATTTGTTGCATTTCTACAAATATTACATGCTTACTTTCTCTGATTAAGTTGAACTCATGGTGCACATATATCTCTGAAAAGAAGAGGGTTAGGACCAGCAGGAATACACTGTTACTTTTTTGAATTTGAGATGGAAAGTTAAAATTACTTACTTTATATTAATTATACATCTCCCTATGGTAGTATGATCTGAGATTCAAAACTCACAAAGTAAACAAGGATTCACTGATTCATGTTACAGAATGTCCATGGCATTCACTATTTTCTTTTTCCTCCTAATTTTCTCCCCTAATCTCTTTAAACGTTGTTGCCTAGGCACTAAAAGCTTGACTGTATTTCATCCAGATTACCCTTTTCCATATAGTGGAGAAGGGGCTGTTGTGGTATGAGGTTCAAGTCCCACCTGCTCCAAAGATGCACAATAACATCTGTGAACAGGTTGACAAGAAAAATACTTCCGTGTAATGTAGAGTATTCACCATGGAGTTGACATCCCAGCTAATTCCTAAGTCACTCTATGCCAATTTCCATACTCCCACCAGGGTTTACTTGGGTTCATTGGTTAGTGATCATGAGTGGGAACTTGTTGAGTTGGACATCAAGAAGCTTTATTCTTTATGTTGTCCCATACGTAACCCAGAAATTCTAGGTGCTAAAACCAGCTGCCCAAAATAAGTATGTATTTGACTTACACCATAAGTATTCCTTACTTGCTCACAAAGTTTGGTTAACAGAAAATAAATCAGATTAATTAGTAACTGACCTGCTTCCATAAGGTAGAATTTCAAACTGCAACAGAAAGGTTCAGTACTCTAATGTCAGACTGCTGCTGATAGTTGTTAATCTGTGAGGTCACCCAGGTTTTCACTGCACCTTGTCTTTCATTCTGTGTCAATTCCCTCTTATCAGCAGACCATGGGCTCTCTTATACATTTCAGTTGTTCATTTTTGACTTCTTGCTCTTGTTAACACTACAGACCCATGAAGAGGACCTGGAGAAAGAGAGGAAGCTACGGGAACGAGCAGAGAGGGATCTGGATGAGGCAGCACGACGATTACAGATGGCACATGAGGAAATCCGTCGACTGACAGATGAACTGGATGTGGAGAGAAAAGTTCATAGTAGTAATGGTGAGTGATGTTTAAACTATTTATTTATAAGCTCTTTTAATTCTATCACTGACAACTGGCAGCATTGGAGAGAATTGTTAATAAGACACCTGACAAAACAAAAAGCTTGTTCATGATAACGACAACCTTTCGTAATTAATTGTTAGACCACAGCCTTTCTCTACCCCAAATAGTCACATCAATAGATATTTTCCTCTGTTTAGCAGAGATAGTGTGACAATTTTTTGTCCACTTTTAACTTAGTTGCTTTAAATACAGTCACATTCCACAGTTTAGAAACTGCCCACAATTCAAATTCCAATGTCAAGCTTATTTTGATGCCCATTTCTGATATTTTGCCTACAGGCTGGATAGAAGAACAAATCAAACTCAGTGTTATCTGCTTTGTTTAATTTACATGAGTAACAATTCCTTCTAGATGGAAACAGTGACATTGTGCTAATGCACTGAAATAATAATCTAGAATCCAATACTAATGTTCTGGAGACATGGTTTTGAATCCCACCTTGGCAAATGGTGAAATTTGAATTGAATAAAAAAAATCTGAAATTAAAAGCTAGCCTAATGTTGACCATGTTAGCATTATCAATTGTTTGTTGTAAAATCCTATCAGGTTCACCAATGCCCTTTAGGGAAGGAAATCTGTCATTCTTGCCTGATTTGGCCTACATGTCACTCTAGGCTCTCAGCAATGTGGTTGACTCTTATCTGTTCTCTGAAATGGGCTGGCAATCCATTTAGTTAGTGTGTTTAGGGATAGGCCCTAAATTCTGGCTTAGCCAGCAACACCCACATTCCCATGAACAAATATAACAATGTTCAGAATCCAGGAAAAATTGATAATTCAATTTTATTTTCCTGAAACAGAGAGATTTATTTCAATCAAACAATCAACTTGCAGATTCTTTTAAAAAGAGATAGTTATTTTGCAGTTTCCGAAAGCAAAAAATCAGATTTGATATTTCCAAGTTACCAAATAGCTTATTTAGTTTTCCACACTGATCAGCGACTCAAGATGAAGTAACACGATGAAACTTTCAGCTTTGATGGGGGCTTCATTCACACCAACTACATGCTTTTGAGGTGCAATCAAGGAACACTTCATAAAGACAGTAAAACTTTAAAACTAAATCTGTAAAAAGCAGCACTTTGAGTGGTTTTGTGTCTATATTTCACCCTCCCTTGTTAGAGAGAAGCAAAGGGGGTGTGCAAGCACCTTCTCTTTGATTGCACACTTTGCCACAGAGTAGGATGCCTTTGACTAAATGTCCATAAATTTTGCCAGTGTCAGTTCAGTCCTAAATTGGAACCAGAAAAATAATTCCGCTCCCTTGAAATTCACCTATTGAGTGAGTGTTAGCATCACATAAGTAGGTCAATGCCTAGCATCTTGGCAGTGTAGTGTTTACTATTCCCTCTAAGCTGCACAATGTCCATGCGACCCAAGGCTCCCACACCCAAATCAGCCTTTTTAAGTTCCCAAGTGTACACAACAGCATTCAAAGTGTTAAATGACGCATTTTCTTAAATGAATGTACAGTGTGCGATAGAAAAAAAACAGGCACAATGGTCATGTCTTTATTCTGCTACCGTTGAGTCAGGGTGACAAACCATAAAGATGGTTACAGGGGCTTTTGACTGTTAACTGTTACTCAACACATGCATGCTTGCACAACTAGCATACAATGAAAACCATGCTGCCATACGCAATGTGATGGAACACACCATTGACATATTTCTACTGCTGAATCATCAAGAGCCTAGCAGTACTCAGAAAAGTGGTGTCAGATTTTTGGTGCTCTCCTATAGGATGTGCAGCCTCAATTAGGAGGAGATTGTGCTTGCAACCAGCTGCATATCAAAGAGCTGATGTGCTCTTTGAATATGAGAAGGATAGGAAGCATGCTAGATAGTCCCTTCATGTCTAGGCAGTCCATGGAGAAGTCAGTTGAGTGCAATACCAGTAACCTCAACCCCAATTTCTAATCACCAACAGCCTACACCTTGCTTTGTTTCCATCACTATGCATTGTTTATTTGCCCACATTGCAAAATAAACATAATCACAAAATAAACATTACAAGCCAAATTTATAAATGATCTCATGTTATATTGCATAGAAAAGTCAAGCCAACACTCTTAATGTTTGTTTTCCATGTGCTTTTATCGGCTGACTTCTGGTGGAGGAGACTGTAGATGGCCTTATTAGATGACCTAGAACAACTCTAGGCTTAAAAGGCCTGGCTGAAGAATGCAGCATTTAGGCCAGCTGCCTTAGAGCTGGGACTGAGTGCTAACAACTGCAAGGTCCCTTGAAATCCTCGATTTTTTTATAACGGTGGGCGTGAGTAAACTAACCTTGAGGTCAGATTGCTGCTTTGAAAAACCCCAAGTCAAAAGTATTGGTTTTCTTTTAAAAACAGGGCAGTTTAAACAGCACATTCAACAGCTTTCTATTAACCCTGTACCCACCAATTTCCACTGCCTCACACTCTTGGATCATGGTAATTTCCAATCTTCAAAATGGGGTCAGAATGGAAAAAGGTTTGAAGAGCATCCATGTGAGGTAATTAAACTTTTTTTGGAACAGCATCCACATTTTCAGAGCTTCATTCCTGGCACTGACCTTCATGGCCAGTTGCTCACATTGACTTTTGAGCGTGTGCCTGGATAGTCTCTTGGCTCCCTATTGTTAGATACAGAACATCTCTTCTACCTTCTACATCCTCTACCTAGCCCTGCTGTGCAGATTCAGAGTACCCCTCTCCATGCTGTGCCATTCTTCACTATTTCCCAGGTCAGATTCCCTTGTATAATCACCGGCATGTACTCCATCCGAAATACACACCTTTTAAGAGCTGCTGGCCAGCTTTACACAATACAGGCAAACTAACTGATGCTAACAAGGTACATTTTTGTGCTCCCAGCTGTATGGAGCCAATCAACGTTATAGTTAGCACTGACTACACACTGAAACCATTGAAGTCAGAAGACAACACAAAGTTGGTGAAATAAAACAAAGAACTGTGGAGATGGTAATTGCTGGATAAACTCAGCAGGTGTGGCAGCGTCTGTGGAGAGAAAGCAGAGTTAATGTTACAAGTACTGTAACCTTTCTTCAGCGAAGTTGCCTTGCAGTCAATGGACATGGGTTATTTGCGCATTGTGCCGACTGTCCCCGTTTCCAGAAGGTACCTACATGCTTCGTGATATCTACGCTCATACACAAAATATGAATACCTGGGTGAGATATTGAAAGGTGACTGAATCAATCTTGTCATGTTCGGGAGAGAAAGAAGAATAATTTCCAGGTTTCTTGGGTGTTTTCCTTGTACAAGTTTTATTAGTTTATCTTCATACATTGTAAACCTTAAAACATTTGGCTGTGTGTTCTCTGTCATTCAGACACAACTCTTTAAAGCTGGCTTTAAAATTGGCTTTTTTTTTGTGCAACACTCACCTCATGCATACAACTGCTTAGGTTAGTTCCTGAATTCCAACCCCCATAAAAACTTTTATATTAGTATCTGGCCAATGCCACCACCACACCACAACTCTGCTTCCCCCCAACCCCACCACACACACACACACACACACACACACACACAAAATCCAGACCCCCTCCATTGCTGCTAATTGTCATACTGTACGATCATCCATCAATTGTTTGCTGGTCAATGAAAGTCAACCTCTTATCTCTTTAAATGGTGGCTAAATACATGATGCTAATAAGCACTCCTTTTTCCAATTTGGCCTTTTACTGGCCAAGGTAATAGAATTACAGGCTTTATGTCATTATCATATCATGTCTATTTCAACTTATCCATTAACTTTTCATTCATTTAACGATATTGAAGCCCATATGTTATGTTAAGTATAGAGCAGAAGTAGCTATTTAGCCTTAGGCTTTCCCAATAGCATCTCAAATGCAGTGAAGAAATCAAGAGAGGTGATAGAGAGGTATAGCTAGGTGACAGGCTTGTATGGGTGGAAGCTGACGCCATGTCCACGGATAAAGTCTTTGAGGAGCAGAATATAGAAGAGGATTTGGGGTGGGGGAGGGCAAAGATCCATTCTTGGGCATTAAATTGGGCAAAGATTAAAGAATGAGAAGACCAGCCAATACATAAAGTGCTGTCATTAAACTTGGACACCTTTGAGTGAAATCAAGGGCACTCCCATTGTGCTGGACAACAGAAAAGAGATGCTATAGAACGGTGGTGGGGTCAATCAACCATAGTGAATGTTGCAAACTGTTTGAGAAGAACAAGATGGATTGGGCATCACCATTGGAAAAGAGATAGTAAGAACTACCGATATTGGAGTCTGAGATAACACAGTGTGGAGCTGGAGGAACATAGCAGGCCAGGCAGCATCAGGAGGAGCAGGAAAGCTGATGTTTTGGGTTAGGACCCTTTTTTTTCTGAAGAAAAGTCCCGACCTGAAACATCAGCTTTCCTGCTCCTCTGATGCTGCCTGGCCTGCTGTGTTCCTCCAGTTCCACACTGTGTTACCATTGGAAAAAAGTTTATGATTTGATAAAGACTGTTTCAGTGCAGATATCTTATTGGAAAGATACAAATATAGCACTGCGAAAAAGATTGGAAGGTAATAGCATATTCAAGGAACAAACACAAAAAAATACTGAAGAAACTCAGCAGGCCTGGCAGCACCTGTGGAAAAGGAAACAGAGTTAACATTTTGAGTCCAGTATACTCTGCTTCAGAACTTCAGTATCATACTGGGCTTGAAAAATCTACTGTTTCTTTCTCCACAGATGCTGTCAGACCTGGTGAGTTTATACAGTGTTTTCTGTGTTTGCCTCAGATTTCCAACATCCACAATATTTTTCCTTTGTAAGCATTTTCAAGGACTTTGATGAGGAAAGGGAAATCGAAGATGTTAGGGTTGAGGATAGTCTTTTGAGATTGGTGTAAGTGAAGAATCATTTACAATGTAAGCTGACTTCATGACTATATTGGAAATTTGTGTGTTCAGCAGGGGAACAAGGTTGCAAAAACAGAGATTGAGTCTCCTAGCCAAAGTAATCTCAAACAGAGCATGAACAGAGATGAGTTGGAGCAGGGGAAGATTTGGATTCAGACTTGAGGGATGGGGAAAGTGATGGAATTTTTTTGTAATTTAAAAAGTGCCAGACCTTGGTGGAAAGATATCATTTGTGCTGTGTTACCACCTTCAAAAAAGCCTAATAATTGATCTAAAATATGATAGTTTATGAGACATAGAGTGTAAGGAAAACAAGAAATTTTGACCCATCCCTTTACCTAAAATAGAGCCTATCTGTTGAGTACCTTCCTACAGCATGATTGCAAGATTGATAACTTACTGTTTGGATAATATCTTTTGACATCAGTGGTATAATATGTTGGAGCTATAGCTTGCCTCGATCTATGATCTCGTGCTTCATGAGCTTTATTAAAAATAAACTTGATTTCTATAAACTTAATTTCTAAAGTTTAAGCTTAGAATAACAGTGGCATCATGAACTAGCCTCAACTGTTAACAGTCTGTGAAACCGCTGCTTAAAATTTTTATCTTTTACTTAGAAAATCTTGTACATTAGTATTCAACTCCAAGTGATAAATCTGTCCATTTGGGAAGTGGTCCTAAAATAAAAGATATTTCTGCAAACTTTCAATTCCCTTCTCCCTCGCAGAGGCAACTTTCCATGTGACTGGCCAGGATGCAACTCTTTAATGCCATTTAGAATGGCCTTCACAATGTGTAGAACTCTTCAGTTTCATTTCATCATAAAGTAGTGTAAACATGCCAGAGGTTCCAGAACTATTCACTTTATGAAGCATTTAAAAGCTGCTTACCTCATCCTTTGCCCATTGTTTATAGAGATCTCTCATGTTGTCTTGTTTTAAATCTACTGGGCTCTTTTTAGGAATGTTGGGGCACTATTTCCTGGCCCCAACCTTCAGCCCAGTCAGACCGAGCTATTGATGTGCTTTGGGCCGTAATGGCCCAATAAGGAAATGGTCAGGTAGGTTAGTATAAAGTATCATTCCTAATGTTTTTGTTTATTTATGTAAAAAGATGATCTCAGTTGAACCAATAGTGAGGACATTGCAGTTAACCTCAATGTTTCAGTGTTTAAGAAGCAGGAACAAAAAAAAAACCAACATTGGTAAGAAGTTAATCACTTTTGTGTTTACCTGCTGGATACCAACTTCACCAACCCCTGTGATCATTACCATCCTTAAAGCTGCCCCAACTGTTTCAATCACTGTATTATTCAACCTTTCAATCCTCCTGACTCATATTTTTGATGTGCCTCAGGTCTCTGAACTCCCTGAGATTTAACCTTATATTGCTGGTGGTTCGTGCATTCTGATTGTTCTCATCTTCGAACTCAGATCTTCCTTGTTGATTCAAGGTTAGCTCAGTAAGATTCATTGCCTTCATCTGAGGAACAGAGATGGCAGGGTTAATTGTTCTGAGAAGAAAATTAGAAGTTGATTAAGTAAGGCATACCTCTTTGGTTTTGTTCATGGCACAACTATCTAGCGACGTGGAGTTGACTATACATTGCCAAGACAGATAAGTAAAAGGACACATCGTTTTTCTCTTAAAACTATGGTGCAGGTGTAGTTATCAAATGGGTTCACATGGTTCATCTCTCAATTTGGGAAATACCCATAACTGAGTATACAGACACATATATGTACTCACAATTGAACACAACCATTCTGTGTTCGAAGGACACAACCTCAAAAGTAAGCAGTCTTCATAAAAAAGAGAAAGAACCCTTTTGCATCATAAAGCATGACCTCACAGCTGCATGTTGGTTGTGTTCGTTGAAGGCAGCAAGGGCTTTTGAAACAGCACCTTGTTAAGTGTTGGCTACCCACAGCCAAATGGCTGAAGGCAAACATCAGGCTAATGATGGTCCAAAAGTTACCCAAAAATATTCTTTTTCCCTGACGCACTAATGTATATATTTCGGGGCAATGTGCAATTCCTAGCTGAATTATGGACAATCCAGATTTAATTGAGGCAAAACAGCCTGTAAGAAAGGAAGTGAACATAAAAACCAAGAAATTCAGTAAAAAACACAAAAAATTAATCCAAAAAGGGAAGGTCTTGATTTTAGACAAGAAGGAATTGCCTGTAGAAGAGAAGAAACCTGTAGAAGAGGAAAAGCAAGAAGAAAAGCTAGAGGAAAAGCGAGAGGGAAGTCTAGAGAGAAAGCTAGAAGAAAAACTCAAGGAAAAGGAAGAACCCACCAAACAGAAAGTAGAAGAGAAGGAATTGCCTGAAAAAGATTCAAATCTCCTTCTTTTCTTCGCAGACTTCATGGAACTAGATAAAGCCAAAGAACAGAACAGCAAATTGGATGAAGAAATCCTGGCGCTACGTGAGCGTGTACGATCATTAGACTCAGAACGGAAATCCCTTTTAGAAGTGGTAAGTAGCTTGCATCAATGTAGTTACAATGTTGATTATACTGAGCAGAACTTAGTGCCCTCCCCGGAGGCTGGTTTGGAGGTAGCCGGGTAATGGATGGGGACCCATGTGACCTTCCCACCTCTGGTCCATTAAATCTGGGCTGGAAAAGCTTGTGGATGTCCTTTCTGTCCCTTCATAAACCAATTAATGGCGATTTAAGAGCCTAAAACCTGTCCAGTTTTATTTAACCTGCAGCAAGCAGGGTAGACATCACACAGGAAGCCCACAAAGTAAACACTTTAGAGATGCTGTGGGCTCCCAGAGTGGTGGAGTTCCATCAGCTGTGTAAACAGACTTCACTGATTTATTCCTTTAATGAGACTGGTCCTTGGGAGAACTGTCAACTTTGTTTTTTTGACATCTTTGTACGACTGCAAGAAGTTTTTTTTTAAACTGTGATTTTTGTAAACAATTCCTCAATTTTATTTGCACAAGATTAGGAGGTATGAGGTGATTAAAATTCTTGTTCTTAGACTTTAGTAATCTGTTTAATGGAAACTTTTATAGGGTTGTAGGAACACCAGTTATTTTCGCTAAGAATTATGAATGGATGTTTACTTTCCAAGCAGTTGCATACAAGCTAATGTTATTACAGGGTTTTTGGGGTTTTGTACATAGTGTATTCTGGGTGAATGGGCTTGGAAGGGTCATGTGTTGGTATGGAAAGTAGAAGGGGCCATTGGAGAACATGAGTTGGCATTGAATTAGTACAGGTGCAAAGGAGATTTGGGAGTGGGACGTGGGAGGCATGATTTGGCATTGATTTGGAATATAGGGGATGTGAGGCCTTTTGATGGCCTTTTGAAAGCTGCTTTTAAAACGTTCTTGATTCTAGTCTCTGGTTCTTAACACCTCGGAGATCCTCTAACCATGAATCACGGAGATGCTAGCCCGAATCCACTAAAGAGATATATGCCCCTGCTATGTAGTCAGCTAGTTTGGCATGCAGTGAATGATCTAGTGACTGAACTGGTGACAATTGAAGGTGGTGGGAGAGGGAGTGGAAGTCCCAGAATTGGGTCCCACCAGCCGTTTTTACATGGCTGCAGAGTCGTTTCAACCCTACAAAAATCCGAGCCTAGGTTGAAGAAGGAGACAGTGTGATAGTCTAGTGAAGATGCAGGAAGGAGGAATGTTGTATGTGGAGTGTGTATTCTTTTAACTTTGAAAGAACAAGGATAAAGGAGAAGTTTCTGGGGATAGAATTTAGAGGCAAAAGGCAACAATGGAGACACTTGGTTTGTTGTATTTAATAAGCATTTCAGGGTGGATTTTCAGCTTCCAACATTTGGGACTGAGATAAATTGCAGGTTCTTTATAGGACCAGCCTGGGTTTTATTCCAATTAACTTAATGAATGGAAAATTAGACAAATCCTGTTGAGACCATTTGCTCTGAACCCCATCTCCCCCAACCTCAACAACGAGGGGGGAGACAACCTACCCCTTCATAACTCCAGATCAAAATTCTCTTGAAAAATGACGCTAATTTGGAAACAGAATGCCTTTGAAATCATAGCAGTAAATGAGTTTTAAGTAATTGTAGGTATTTTGTGCTGTTTCAGCTGTGATACATAACACTGTTGGGAGAAAATACAAATAGGTCAGATGTATATATCATGAATATTGTGGTGTAATTAGACTTAGGGGCTTTCCCAGGTGAGGCATGAGACCGGCAATGCATATGCTTATGTCTATTTCTATAGCTAGTTTTCTTTCTGGAACAGGTTGCCAGCCTGTCGCTAGTGGCTTTAGATTGAGAGGCACCACCAAGCGTCAAGCATGGCTGACCAGGGGACTCTCCTGCTCCTACTGCCTGTTGTTGGTATATTGGAATGAGTTACAGGTTGATAATCAACATGTCTGTCCATGTTATAAACACTTCATCCATGGCTATCAAGTTCTGCAGTGGGAGATTTGAACCCTCTGTCTTAGAGGGAGGAATGTTATCTCCAGTGCAACCAACTGAGTCATGGCTGGAAAAAGAATCCAGGAATGAAGGAGAGTCTTTCTGGACAATTACTGCAACCTCTTTATATTTCATAAAGGTAAATTCTGAGTGAAAAGGTTCTGATGCCTGATTCTAGTGACATTAGTGGGAAAATGCAGTGGCAGAATTTTATGGACCGTGCCAGAAGATTTAGATTTGTTATTGGGCGAGGGTGGGAGCATAAATTTCCCTTGACAACCTTCCCACTGCACTCCTGCATACCCAAACTGAAATTTTTCAGAGAGCTGGTAAAACCTAGGGCAGCCTCCCTAGCCCCACTGAGGTACATTGGGCTACTTGGGGCTTCTTCTCACCTGACCTAAATTTCCAGGCTGGCAGGAGGAGTCCAGGGCAAGTAGGAAGCCAGCCAGGTCACTCTACCTGGGCTTGGGGCACGGAGGAGGTGGGCACTTCCTTTAAGGCCTCCTTTTTTGGCATCAAGTGCCCCATCCAATGTCTTCCTCTGTCGGTGCTTCCGTCAACCATCTTCTTTTTCAAGAATCCCACCCTACTCTTCCCACCACGTTCCCCCTCTCTTAGACCCAACCTCAACCATCCTGAGATGGCCTACACTGATCTGGAACTGTACTCCAGGAGTTAGGATCTGGGCACTGCTTGTAGTCCCACTCCTGGCCTACCACTGGCAATGCAATCAATCAGATATGCCAGCAGATCTTGGAGGTGGAACTTTATTTTTGTATTCACTTTTGTGGGATGTGGGTGTCCCTAGCTGGCCAGCATTTCTTGCCCATCCCTAGTTGCCCTTGAGAAGGTAGTGGTGAGCTGCCTTTTTGAACTGCTGCAGTCCTCCTGCTGTGGGTTGACCACAATGGCATTAGCGAGTGAATTGTAGGGGTTTGACCCAGTGACAGTGAAGGAATGGCGATATATTTCCTAGTCAGGATGGTGAGTGACTTGGAGGAGAACTCAGAGGTGGCTGTGTTCCCATATGTCTGCTGCCGTTGTCCTTCTAGGTGGAAGTGGTCGTGGGTTTGGAAGGTGCGGTCTGAGGATCTTTGGTGAATTTCTGCAGTGCATCTTGTACATAGTACACACTGCTGCCAGTGAACTTTGGTGGTGGAGGGAGTGGTTGCTTGTGGATGTCGTGCCAATCAAGCGGCTGCTTTGTCCCAGATGGTATCAAGCTTCTGGAGTGTTGTTGGGGCTGCACTCATCCAGGCAAATAGGGAGTATTCCATCACTTTTGAGCGAGAGGCAAAATGTATGCCCCACTGACTCTTTATACATTAGGGAGGGACATTCCACCATCTGGAAAATTCTACCCCGAGCGTTGAATATCTGGGGAGGTCAAAATTGGGCTAAGCTGTGACATTTGCCTCGTCTAAGTAGCCTACGAATTCTCAATGATAAGACTATGTCCAAACAAAGATTTGATGTATACAATAACGAAGAATAGGTAGCACCAGTAGGTCAGCAACTCAACACAAGGTAGCATCTTCAGGAGAAACTTTTGAGTAGGGGAACAAGAAAGCTAACGTCATCAAAAATTTAGATAACTGATACTGTAGAATTCCCAATACTTTTAAAGAATATTTTGCTATGTCAGCCCACTGGTATGAATTTAAACGATGAACAAAAACAGAAGTTGCCGGAAAAGCTTAGCAAGTCTGGCAGCATTTGTGAAGAAAAATCAGAGTTAACATTTTGGGTCCAGTGACCCTTCCTCAGAACTGATGGTAGCTAGGAAAATGTCGGTTTATATGCAAAAGATAGAGTGGTGGGGGTGGGGGGGTGGTGGGGGGAGGAGGGGAGGGGGTAAGGAGTAAACAATAGGTGGACATAGACCCCAAAGTGAGAGAACAGTTGGACATACAAAGGAGTTGACAACGATATGGCTATGAGGTTGAATAACTGTTATTGGGGACTGTTAGTGACTAACAATAGGTAGTGTGTAATGGCGGTCTATGTGATAACAAGGCCTGGTATTTGGGGTAGGGGCTGGGATATGGGAGAGTTCAGGCCCTAAAATTATTGAACTCGACATTGAGTCTGGAGGACTACAGGGTCCCCAAGCGGAAAATGAGGTGTTGTTTTTCCGGCTTGCGCAAATTTAGACTTTGTTAGAGTCATACAGTGTCACTCAATGGTCATGACATAGGGTGCGATTACCCTTTTTTCTCCCCACAAACGTGGGTGAGAGCATTTTATGTAGTATCTAACATGTTGCCCTCCAACAGTGAGATAACTCATTGGATCACCTGCCAATCAGCTTATTAAGGCCTCAACAGTAGCTGCCTGCACCTACAGATGCTCCTGGCCAAGTGGAGGCCAGAAGCTTCTGGGTTCCAAAGTCCATCAGGTCAAGGTTACTCGCAGGGCATCCAGTGGCGAGAATGTATTCCTTATTTCTTCATCTTGCAGTTTTGTGGGAGATGGCATTCAGAAGATCAGTAGCAAGAGCAGGAGTTTGACTTTCAAAGGCCACACTCCTGCCTCTTATTGCTCCCAAATTGGAGCATTGGAGGCTCCCTCTTCAACTTCCAGGCAAGTCGCCATGGTTTCCCAGTCAACTAGACTCCTTTCTTGCCCACTGGCAAAGCAGATGATTGGGGGAGGGGATAAGGTGATAAGGCTAATTTTAATTGACCACGAGGGCCTTAAGTTGCTGGTGAGTTGAGAAATTTGTCCGTGGACCTTCTTGCCACCTTTCACACCACCTCCAGGGAGGGGTGAAAATCACATGCATAGTTTTAAAATGGGGATCTGGAAAGGGCTTCCTAAGTGGGATCCTCAGATTTCTGTATTAACTTATTTCTGTTGCTGTATGCTGATGAAAATGTTACAGGTAGTTATTGTGATGTTTCCCTTGAGATGGGAGACTTTGTCCTTCAGAATTGAGCACAGACCCTATAAAAGAAAATTTGAAAACCACTGGGTTGTATCAGTGCCACTCATGAAGATATTTAACAGTTGCACTGTGATGTCACTGCCATTGTGACGTGGCCTCAA